AAAAATACATACATCAGGATATGGGTATTTTCTCAAGCTTGTTCATAATCAGAAGAGGACTGGCAACAAGGCCAGAGTTTTCTTTTCATTCTACAATCTTAATGAGACCTCAGAAGGAAGCAGAGGCATTAAAATCACCCCGGTTTAATCAACTTAAGCATAGGAAAAAGAGGCAGCTGCTGTCAAGAGGACAAAACTCATCTCCCTTTAACATCAAATAAGCTTCTTTAAAGCAGGTGTTGAAATAGTTCATATTCAGTTGGTTTAGTTTTCTTCCTTGCAAGGTAGGTGCTAAAATTTTATTATCTCCTGTGAGATGCTGATAAAGTATTTACAGAGTAGGAATTAATCCCTGGAGTTAAGTTACAAAGGAAGAGAGAAGTGGGCAACTCAAGTGCTCCGAGTACCTCTGCTGGTTCATTAACACAAGCCTGAGAAAAAAAATGGGAAAAAAGTCAGTGCTTATTAATTTCCATGCTACTCTCCCCTCAAGAACAGAGGGGGACTAGAAAAAATACAGTATATAAAAAGTGTGCCCATGCTTAAAACTTAGGACGTAAAATTCTTCAAAAAGAATAGTTTAATCATTAAGTGTTTACATGTCTTCTCCTTACCCACCTTGAGACCTACCTGTCTTTTCTATATGAATTTATTATATACATAGATAGATACACAAAATTGGTATGGCCTTACACTCCATTTAAGGATATTTTGCTACATTGATCAGAGTGCAAAGCAACTGTTTCCTTAAAAGCAGCATTTTTACATCATGATGAAATAAACCTGTATCTTATCCAGTTTGCATGACCACACAAACAGTGGCAGATTATTTTTCTGGCTTGTAAAAAAATTTTAAAACAGAAGTTCTATTTCAGCAGTTTGAAGATGGAATGTAAAGTTTCTGCTGTTGTATGTATATAAAGATCTATTTATTGAATCATACATTCATGCTGATTCCAATAAAATAAAAGATTTTTCTGAAGTTCTCTCCATGGATTTTTAGGGCCAGATGTTCCATGCTGCAGCCCACACTGCTGCTGTTTGTGTTAATGCAGCAGTTCATGAAAATAAGGCAAGGGACCAGCCCTACCATTAAGCCTTTTATCCTGAAAAATAACCTCTCCCATCTGTGACCTCCCAAGCTCCACCCCACAAAGGGATTCCTACAGCAGCAGCAGTACCAGCCATAGCATTCAGACTCCTGAACTGCTCCTCACTGTTTCAGACTCCTGCAAGGCTAACAGTGTTGCTAACACCATTACTCTTCATTTCCCAGGAGTCAAGATCAAGTCCAGGCAGGAGAAGGAAGTTTTCCCACAAGAGGGATGCATCACATCTCTAGTCCTTATAAAATGTCTGTCTGGCCTTTCACACAGCAACAACAGATACCCAGACAAAGTTCTGTTTGAGTTGTCTTTACAATACCCTAGATTCTGAAGTCAGGCACAACTTTCCACAGGTTCTAGCAAGGAGCATAGTTGTTTGGGCCTAGGGTCCACATAAAGGAAAAAAAAAGGTATTTCACATGTCATTTTGCAAGCTAGGACATGGCATTATTTATATATTCTATATATACATTAATGTATATTTATATATTCTTAACATTCTTTGTTAAATGACCTGACCTTAGTCATTTAGGATGTCTGCACTTTTCAGAATGTTAAAGGACTGCCACTCAATGCTGAATCTCAAATATAGACGCAATAAAACATTTTTCCATCCACAGTCAGGTGCTTTGTCAAGTTTGAAATACCAGATGCAACAGCAAATCACACTCAGACTGGCAAGTGGTGTTTTGTGACAGAAAAATAGAAGGGCAACATCCTGCCCTTCAAAACTATTTGAGAATACACCATTACTCTAAAATCTAAAGAATAGAGTTTGAAAGCATTTTACTTAATTGCTTTACATCTCCCAAGCAGATAAGCCATTAACAACCCCTCCTTGATCCATCTTTCACACAACATGTGAATGAGATTATCAAGATCTGGGGAGAGCAGTTTTTGAAGTTACCAGGCAGGGTAAGAACTGTACTGCTGGGAAATGAAATAATCACCAAGATAATTGCTTCCTGCCAAAGCATGCACAAGTCAGGGAAACTGCTAGTGTGCCATGTGCTCATAGCCCCAGGCAGCATGTAGAGAAACAAAAAACCCAACATTTCAAAATACATGTTGTATGTATTCAAATGTTTCAAAATATTTATGTTTCAAAAGACATCCCTCAGAGGTGCTGAATCACCTGCTCAGAATCTCATCAGCTGCAGAGACCTTCCTACCTGCACTGAGAACCATCCTTTCACCAAGGAAAGCAGCCTCCCAGGTCTAAAGGGCATCCCTTCCATGCAGGGCTGCTGAAGAATGTTCCTCATTCAGATTCAAGTCAGAGCTCACTGTTACCACACAGCACGTTAGCACAGAGGCCATTTCCTACACCAGGAGTAAATGCTCTCTGCAAAGATCTACTTCCAGTAGCTTGCTCATCACCTCACTTGCCTGTTTGTGTATAGTGCACAACAAGGACTAGAGCTTCAGCTTTGAGCAAATTCTTGAAAAAATTAAAATATTTTAAAAAGAACCTGTAAAGAGAGCCCTGTAAAACAAGAGATCCCTGCCTGAATCCTCAGCTGCAAACACCTGCAGTCCTCACCACAAATTTCAGTTCTTCACACAACAGCCCCAAGCAAGTCTGCTAATCCTGAGGAGAATCTCCAGGAGGAGTCTCCCTGCACAAGAAAAGGGGCTAACTAAGCCTAGTTAATTGTATAACACCCTTAACCAAAGAAAAGGCAGCAAAGGCAGCACAGCTTCCAGTTCTGCTGCAGGTCATATGAAACAACTGTATATAAAACAGTCTTGTTCTTACTTAACACTGTTAGGCTGAGCCAGAAGAGACCAGCTCACACTACTCATATAGGAACCCCACTGTGCTCTCAGAGGGGCAGATTAAGGCTGTTCCTGACACTGTCCATGTGGCTCATGTGGGTGCAAAAGCAACCTGTGATAGATCTGACCAGCTTTTCTCCACCTCCTACGCCCTGCAGAGCACTGAGACATCAAGAGTATTCACCAAGCACCACCTCACTGTCTCAGTGGGAGTGGAGGTGCCAGCAGGGAGACATGAGCAGAGTCTGACTCCTTCAAGGCTTTGCAGTAGCATTTTCCATCTGGAGTTAGACTGCCATGGTTGAGGTAGCCTTCTTGTAGCCATTCTAGCTCACAGCAGTCAGCTGAGGCAAATGAAATCACAGCTTCTTCACAGTCACCTTCACCAGTAATGTATGCAAAGCACTGAAGACCTTAGACACAAGATAGTGAGGTTTTAACAGCATAGCTATATGCAGAAAATAGAAGGGCTTGAGGCTAGCAGAAAGTTTAAACAAAAAAGCCAGTGTGACAACATTTTACAGCAGGTCTTTTCAGTATACCTTGTTATAAGCTAGTCACAGAACAACCAAAACACAAATCCTGAGTCACTCTACGATGTTGTTCAAGATGCTGTCAACATAACTTGCTTTTGAGAAGTTTTTTTTTTTTTACATTCCCAAATTTCAAGTACTTTATTTTGCCTGTCATCTACGACAAGAACATCACTCTCTGGGTGAACATACTGAGATTGTGAGTCATGTGAAAACAAGCAAACACTTCACCTTATAGGTTTTTAAATTCACCACTGACATTCCTCAGCTTTCTCAAACCAGATGACAAGAAGCCAGAATTGTCCAACTCCCACTACAGACAGTATTTTAGCCTTACAGGTGCTTTGCACATTTGGTTATTAAGAACTATAAGAGCTTCTACTAAAAACCCTTGATAAGTCTGAAGTGCAATTTGTCACTGAAGTCTTGGATTTAACACCAACAGTAGAAACCCAACAAATGAGAAGCAATATCAGAAACAAGGCCAGAGTTCTGTGAAAGTCTTCCATTGCACACTTCCACCTCAGTCATTCCTGACATGAAAAAGTAGAAAGGTTTTTTTAATTTAAAAACAAATACCAGTTACCACCACAAGAGGAAGCAAGATATATCTCCAGTAGGCTGGCTGTGAGAGCACACCACAGACACTGCTGTCACTTATCTTGGTGAACTGGATGAGAGCTATTTAAGTCTTCAAGAACAGATCATAAGCAAGTCAATCCATTAAATATTCATAAGGAAGGGACAAACAGTGTAGTAGAGCTGAAGATGAAGATAAAACAGAAACCAAAACTCCACTGACATTTAGTACAACCAGGCTCAACCACTGAGCTTGGCAAGGAAAACCAAAAATTACTCTTCTGGAACAGGTAATACCTGCCTGCCCTTTGGGCAAGGACGACTGTGCTCCAGCTTTAAAGCAAGCAGAGGGCAGCAGAGATACTGCATATGCACAGCATCAGAAAACACAGAAACAAGTTCACTGATCTGTGTCAGGGTTCAACAGCAGCTCTTTTGTATTACCAAGAGCTCTGAAGGTCTGGTGTAGACTCAAACCTGCCACCTTCATCCAAATGTTTAATGCCATGGATTACAGAAATACTGCTTTGTGCACTAGAGTCTTGCAAGATCTTTGATTGAAATTACCCAGTTTTGTATTTTATTTTCAGTCTTGTCTTTTCAGAGGCAGTGAGTGTTCAACACCTTTAACACCATGACAGACAGGCACCTCCTGTGCTTCTGACAAAAATGCCATCCACTTCAGGTCTTGCAGAAACAGGAGAGGAAACTACTGCCTAAACTGTAAAAAACTTATTACATACAGTAGCTTGAACTGTAAAGGATGTGAGAGACGTATTTCTTCAGTTGTACTTTTGTAACCTTTGGAACAGGGCCTGCCCAGTCTCAAGTCAAAACAATCAAATCCTGCATCCAGAAAGTACTGTTTTTCAGTTATTTAAATGCAGCCAAATTGATGAACAGAAGGTATTAGAAACTTCAGCTATAAACACCTCTACCTAGTAAGTCTAGTGACTGAAGGAAGAACCTCTTCCCCTTGGAAAAACTCCAACATACTCTTGACTTGATAAAGCAAATCTAGACCTTTTTTATTTTTATTTTTTTTTTTAAACAATTTGCCAAGACTGGAATGAGAGATAAATAGAAGGCACAACAATTTTGCTTTTTTTTATACAAATACAAACTAAACATGAAAAAAACTCCCTATTTCAATAAAAAATTTCACAAGTTCAGGAAAAGTGTTTCAAGAGTCAAGTTCTAGACATTTAAAACCTATCCCACAATCCAAAATTTTAAAGTGGTAAAACAGTAGTTCGAATTCCTTTCTGTGATCATGTATCAAAAGAAAAAAAAGATTCTATGGATACCCATTATTCCACTTTTACAGCGCCCCAAAGAGAAGGGTGAATGTCAATTTTTCAAGTGGCAGTATCTCCAGACCAGAGGATGTTCATATGACCCTCAAAAAGAGATCAATAGTTTTGCTTTTCTGCCCTTGAAATGCTTGCCAAGTACTATGTTTTCCTACAGGCTCTTGAATGCATGCACGTGAAATATATTCCACTGACTGAAACGCACTCAAATTCAGTAGAAAGGGGAGAGAGAAAAAAGAAAAAAAGAAAAAAATTAGAGACATTCCTTTAGGAAAACCACTGGTACCAAAAAAATCCAGTCCGTAAGTTTGAGGTGAGCAAGAAAATTCAGTTCTTTTCTTTTTAAAATCCACTTTTCCTAAAACATTGTTCCACAAAGCTGGAATCTGGGACAAGGACTAGGAAAAAAAAAAATCACAAAACCATAACACAAACAAAAAAAGGGCCAAAATAGTATCAAACGTAGCAGTCTATAACAGGCTAGGGCCACATTCCAAGATACCCAAGGCTGAAATTCACAAATCTGCAGGAAAAAGGGTTTGCGTCACCATGTCAACATCCGGGATGCGTTCACTGGCGCTGCCCGATCCCCCTTCCAGCTCCAAATCCTGGCTTCTGGGACATTCCTCCACGTGGAGGCCCTCGAATCCCACCTCCCAGCCCCCCACGAGTGCCTCCAGGTCCACGTGGTCTGTTATCTCTGCGGTCGCCCTCCCTGGCAGCTCGTGTTTTCTTCTCCTCCACGTTCAGGCGTACCTCTCCCCTGAACATGATGGGCTGCAACAAAAGCAGAAAAGGCACTGTCATTAATGGCTCACCCCTCACTCTTCAAAGTCAAGCAGATTTTTTTGCAGCCTGGTCTCATATCCTCTTCTCCACAAAAGGAAATTGAAGTGGTTTACGATTGGTGACTAGGAAATGGGAACAGTCAAATTCTGCACCCAATCCTGTGGCTTTGCTGCAAGAACCAACAAACTACAAGAATAAGGACTCAGTTTCAAATTATTCCTGCAGTTAGATAAACAGGAAACTGAAAAATACAACCCATCACTGGCACAACACTTCTCATCAAATGGAAAGACCAGCCACTGACTTCTGCTGAACTGGCTACAGAACAGATCTGAGGATGAAGCACATTGTCCTCTAGCTGTCAGCAGGGCTGGACAAAGATCCAAGCATCACATCACAGCCTTATCACCCACTCCAGGCTAAACTCCCACTTTTCACAACAGGCAGCAGTCATCAGGTTTAGCTTCACTGGCATACAGTCTACCACAGCCTTTTAAACTCATGATGGCAAAGCTTATCCTGAAAGAAAAAAGTCCTGCTGCTTCAGGACGTGCATCTTTGCCCAAAGTCCTGGGCCCATTTGCAAAGCACTTCACCCAGTGGTACTACAAACAGAGCTCAGTGCTGTTCAAAGCAGGGCTTTTATATAGACTTAAGTCTATCAAAAATAGTATCTTATTTCAGGAAACTATGCCCATCCATTCTAACTTAAGCATTCACACAGGCTTGCAGGAAAGACTTTTGAGTGCACTAACTATTGCACATTCAAAGCCTGCCCTGGAAGGTAGTGGCTGCCATTTACTCCCTTCTCTGAATTTGGGAGGGAACATCTCTGGTTTGTTTCAGCAAAGCTCAAATACACAAGCTTAAGTCACTGCTGAAGGTTCCACATACTGCTGGCACCTAAGAACCAGCTTAAGGACCAACTGTCTCTGTAGTACTTGCTCCCCCGCCAATTCAGGCCAAAGTCAGCCACATTTACTCCACCTGCTTTTAGGTCTGGTTTTGACTTTACCCTAGACCACAATGGAACTGCTCAGCCCAGGAATCAACTCTCCATCAGCATTCTGATCTTGAACCAGCTCCCTGCAAGAGTTCTAGGGCTGCTGGGCTTCATAAGCATTAATTCATCAAGCATTACCACAAATGCTGGTGGCAAACCACAGCAAAAGGTGTCTAGCTATGTGAAATATCCCAAACTCAGAACAAACTGCACTCAAGTTATGTCTCAAGTTAAGAACAGAAACATAGCAGTAACAGTGCTGTGCAGAGTAAGGAATTCAAGAAGGGACATCCCTACCTGGTGAAAAGCTGTACTATAAGCCAGCACACCACAGCTGCTCTGCATTCAGACAGGGCCTACCACCACACCACAGACACAGGGTGCACATTCTGCATTAGCAATCACTGCTGACAAGCTGAGCAGGTACCTCCTGCCTTTGTTAGTAGAGACTCTTTTCAACCTGCACACTAGTACAGCTTCTCCCTTCCAACCTCTTCAACAAACAAGATTCTACTTGTCCACAGACTCCCACTCTTTCTACTTTGTTCTCCTGAATGCTAGTTACCTGATTCCTGTGCAGAGCTCAGCAACTTCCCACTGGAAAAAGGCTCTATAATTAAGAAATTCATGTTCACCCAAGTTGTTAAAAGCTACTTCAATGACAAAAGACGTCTGTACAAATGCTGCACAAATCTTGGTAACAGCAGGGAAAGACATCACACCTACTTGAAGATGCTCCAGAAAGGTCAAAGGGATCAAGTAGAATCTTTTCTTGTTAGAATAATGTGAAAAACACTTATCAACAGACCAAAACCCACTGTCTAGAATTTTATTTACCCTGTTGCTAAGGATCTTCTGAACTGGTTCAGGGTCATCAAACACCACAAACCCAAAATTGGGGAGCTTTCCACCACTGTTGATACGGAGTTCAACAACATTGCCATAGCCTGCAAGAGAAAAGCCAAGTTCTTGGGTCATACATTAGAATGTTCTGTTAACCACACATATGGCTGCAACCCCCAAGCCCCAAGAGCTCAGCAAAACAACTAACTTACTTTGGAAAAAGTCTTTAAGTTCAGATTTATCCACATCGTGGGGAAGGTTCCCAACGAACAGCTGATGACTGTCTGGGTATCTCACGATCCGCCTGGTCTCCACGTCGCCTTGCTCACCCTCACGAACTTGAAGAGGAACATTAAAACTTGTTTAGGAAAACAGTCCCCACAGCAAAGGAAAATAAGCCATGGTGAGAACTAGCCAGTTTTAAGAAGAGTTCACACTATTTATCCATTCCTATATCAAAATGGTAAGCAAACTAGCAAGCCTGTAACTCTTCTTCGTCACCTGACTGAAGCCAAACACCCGAGTAGAAATCTAGATACTTCAACAAACTACTAGTGAAATTCAGCTCTACAGCTTGCCAGATACTCAGATCATTTAAAATAATCATACCCCTAAAAGCCGGCAGCAAATGCTTACTGACAAAATTAATGAAACTTTCAAATCTTTAATCATCATACTGTTCCCCCAAACCACCAAACAGCAGCAAACAGTTTATTCTCTGTAGCTTCTCTTACTTGGTCTAGGACCCCTCTGTGGTGGGATGTTTGTTCGCTGCTCCCTCACTCGCTGATCCCTCTGAGGTCTCTGGGGTGGGGTCTGAGATTCAGGCTTTGCCTCAGGGCGGGGCTGTATAAATTCAAAAAGGAATTAACAGGAAAGAATAGACAGAATAATAGAGTTCGGCTTTTAAGAGTTCACTAACAGTTTCTTGATAGACTAAACTGAAACTACAGGGAAAAAAAAATCATAGTTCTACCCACTTGAGCTAACAAGCACTTTAGTCACATGTTCACATGTACTAAAAGCAAGTCACTTGACTAAGAATTGAAAAGTCACTCCATTCAAAGTTCTATAAAATATAAACTCATCCATGAGATAGCCAGAGGAAAAGAAAAAGCTGCCTCTTATTAAAGAGGTTGCAATCATTTTAGATAGCAAATACAACCAGCACTCACATGAACATTCCCTGGTTTTCCTCCATGAAAAAAGTTCCTTCTCAACCCAAAAACTAATGATTATAATTTTTAGGAATTCTATCAGGAAACATTGAATTTTCAAGTCTTTGGAGCCAGAAAATTCAGATCAAAAGCAAGTAGATTTAGCTATATTTTTCCCCACCTCAGTTTGCTGTCAGCCCGTTTAACACAAACTTCTCTAGGTGCTGGATTCCTACCTGTGAGACTGGTACTTTCACAACATGAGGTGGTATTCCTGAAACTGGAACAGCTCCACTTGGAGGGAGGTTCTTACTGGTTACTGACGCCCAGGAAAATGTCTGGGAAAAAAAGGATCATTTTAACTCAACTCCAGATGTTTTAATCCTTCTGAAATAAATTCCTGAAAGTCCAGCTAGCAGACATAGGATAACAAATTTTAACCTGTCCTCAATATTCAGGATGCACCCACTAGCAGTTTCCCCACAACTTACTTCAAATAATTTAAATTCAGAAGACTTAGTGTAACAGCAGTCACATTTCCACCATGCTCCTAAATTCTATGTCCAGTTGCAATAAGACCCATTGGTTGCAGTCTGTTCAGAATTTCAGAAGGTCTGTTTACAAGGAACCAGCCTCTCACTGCTGCTACAATTCCCATACCTACCAAACACACAGAGCTTTACCTTAGCTCCTGGTATTTTAACCAATTAGTTATACCTAGAATTTCAGTTACCTGCTATTATTTAGTAACTAATAGAAAGGAGGCAACTAGTCAGGGGAAGAGTAATTTAGAGAGGAGAGGGAGAGGGCAGAAATAAGAGCATTTGAACACTTCTAATTGCAGGTATTTTTCCTCATGCCAGAGAAAGCATCATGCTCTGCAAAATAACAGGAGAGTCAAACATACTGATGAAGCCATCACATCATAGAAAAGAGCCATCTACTGTCATTACCCTGGAGTCCTCTTGCACTGCAGGAGCTGGATCAGCAGGAGCAGGAGAAGCACTCTTTTCCACAGCCTCTTCTGGAGCAGACTCCTCTAATGCTGGCTCAGATTTTTCTTCCTGCACCTCTGGTTCAGGTTCCTGTTCGGGTTCTGGCTCTGGCTCAGGTTCTGCCTCTGCAGCTGTCTCTTCCAGGTGCTCCTCAATGTCATTGCTATTATACAGCACCACAAAAAGCAAGAAAAAGAGGTGATGTTGTGTTTGATTGTATTACTGGGTGGTAAGGAATACCACTTGTATACGAGAGAAAGAAGAAGGTTAATCTGTCTAAATAAGGCCACGTTGAACAGGAATACAAGTTTTGTATCACAGGATGTTAGAGGTTGGAAGGGACCTCTAGAGATCAAGGCCAACCCCCCTGCCAGAGCAGGGCCATCCAATCTAGAGCAGGTCACACAGGAATGCATCCAGAACAGAATCACAGAAAATCTGTGACAAATATGTATTATTACACTGTAGAGCAGCAAAAGCATTACATGTACTGAAAATCCAGTTTCTGCATTCAGCTTAACAGCAGTTTAGTTTCAGCTGTTTAGTTTAAGAAATCTTTTGATTGCTATTGGAAAAACCACAAGTAGCACTAAATTCACTTGACCTATTCTATAAGCAGTCTGTTACACAACATCTGACTTCAACTAATATGATATTATTACCTGACAGTCTGCTCGTAATAAGCACCACTATCATCAGGAACAGCCTCAGGTGTCTGCTGTCTTTCCTCAGGTTCTTCCCCTTCCTCCTCTGATTCTAAATGAAGTTAGAAAAGGAAAAAATACCACACACATCTTTACTATTTAACTCAAACACAAGGCATCTTCCACAACATGCAGGTGAACCCTCAGCCAAAGACCACATGGGAAGCACTATCAAGGTGTCACTTGGAACAGACATTTCCTCGTATTTCTGCTATCACTTCAGCTACACAGTTTTGACCAAGGTTAAACATGTTCCAAATAAGTCATAGAAGCAGATTTATAGCCTACAGATCTCACTGCAACTGCTAAAATAAGTCTTGCAGTTCTTTTAATAGAAAGAGGATGTCAAAAAAATAATCATTTGCACATCACAACTCCTGCTAGAGTGCAAGGAAACTACAGGCAGCACTGAAAACCTGAAGAGCATGAAGCTTAGCACTGATCTCCCAGCAAGATTTTCTCTGGTCTGGGAATGGAGCAGTGATACAGACCCAAAAACAAGCCAGTGGAACCATTCACAAATTCCTGCAACTTACCCTCTGGAGGCTCAGTGTCAGAGTCACCAAAAACCTCATCTTGGTAGCGGAAGATATCATTGTGGACATAAAACTTGTTTGCAACAGAACCCTAGAAGTAAATCAAAGGGAAGAACCCATTCAATTACATCAATTGCAGTAATGTTAAAAACTGAGAAAAATGAGAAAACAAGAACAGCTTGAGCAAGTCATCCTTTCCATGTAAGATTAATCTATATTTTCCTCCTTCAACAAAAAGTGTTACTCAGGAGAAAAAAAAGTGCCTTTTTAGTGCTTCTAAGTCCAATAGCTTACAACACTGAAAAAGTAGGAGCAAGAACTTTCTGGGATCTAAAGTATCAATTCTTAGCTCCAATTCAAACTTAAAAATAAAGTGATCTCACAACACTCCTTTTTTCAATAGGATTTTCAGCTATGTGAACTGTTTTGTTCAAAAAAGCCACCTCAAATGCTAAGTCAACACTTCATACAAGAAAGCCTGGAACACATCTTCAAATGACAGCAAGCATTTTCCTCTATTAGTTCTTTTCAGTATGAGGACCAGCTGCTAGGAGTGCAAATCAAAGAAAAAACTTCAAAAGCCTTAAGAAAAAAAATATGCATTGCACATACCTAGTTTCCAAAAGTTGGGATATTTACAACTGTAATTATGATATCCAGGGTTAACGTACAACGATGCAAGAGCAGCATAATTGCCCAAGGCATCTGCAGAACATTACTGCTGAATTTTGTGGCAAACTCCCTCCCTAGCCTAACCCTTCAGATTCTAACCAGAACCAGTCAGGCCTCGTTCATCCTGACATGACATGAGAAGCACTGGAGTAAGAGGAGCACTTCAGAAAGCATACCTCAGGTGCAAGCACAAACGTCTGCATGAACCTGCGCACGGGCTGCATGTTATTGGAGAGCTCTCCCATCACCTGGACCACCACACCATCATTGAGAGTAGCATGGGCATCCACGTGACGAATCTTTGTGTGGCAATCCTTGAAGTTTAATGACAGCACCTTCTTGTGGATATCCTGTGAAAGAACGAGACCCAGGTTACAATGCAGAAGCCATTTCTGCTAAGTTGGCAGCTGTCAAAGCAAGCAAACCCATGGAACAGTTTCACCATAGTCCCTAACTCTAGAGAGAAAGCCTAGTGGCATTCTCTAAGTTTTTTTACAAGCAATTTTACATTACAAACTTCAATGAAGCATATCTTGCCCAGGTACTGCTGGTTACAGATGGACAGTTCTCCCCCCATTTTTTACAGAAAGCACTTGGACAAAGGGGGATGAATCACAGCTGGATGTGTGTCTTCTTAACCAAAAAGAATACCAGTAAGTGGGTTTTTTAGTACTTACAGATTGCCCATAGACTGCGTCAGCTGGCTTCCCATTGGAATCCAAGCCACCATGGACATAGGAAGAGTTCTTGCCATAAAACCTGTTGGAGAGAAACATTTTAACATTAAGCTTTGTTACATAAAAACACTGAGCCTCTACACTAGAGAGCTCTATGAATATACTCTCAAGCAGTTTTCTGTCCAAATTACTGGAATACAGTCATGCTATTCCATACTCCTGTCAGTGATTTCAAGGCAGGGCACTTAACTGCAGGGGAAAATGCAGAGTTCTCCTGTGTGAGTTGTGCCATTCAGGTGTTACTGATACCCAAGGATGAACAGCAAAAACCAAAGTCTCATAGGAACTAGGTGATCCAATCCCATTGTCCTCTTCCTGTATAAGATCCCTAAAGCAACCCAGGATGCTGAAGGCTTCCCCTCCAGTTCTAGTTTAAAGCTTGAGCAAGGAGCAGTGGTACTTTTTTGCTCATCTACAATAAAGAAAGTGCTGCAGGTAAATCTTCCATTTTATAACTGAGGGATTACAAGCTAAAGTGTTGAACATCGTGGGATTGCATTCTGCCAGCAGAAAGACTAGAACTGAATTTGCTGGCACACTGTAAACCTCCCTCTGACGCAAATGAACAAGGTCAGCTGTCCACTTAAGTGGAGAAATACTCTGAATAAGTGTTCCTGAGACTGGAAGAAAGGTTTCAGAATTTTTTGTCTAGCTACTCAAAGCACAGCAAAAGAAAGTGTATCTTCAAAAATGAGGTTAGGGTAGGATACCTATCTAATCAAAGTGGTCCTGTTTGATTTGACAACAGATTGTAGTTTGCTCCACGTTCATAATTTCTCATTTTTTTTCCTTTAAGAAAGAGCTGGTGGTATGACTACTGAGACATACCAACATACAATAAGAACAGATATTCAAAAAAATTCCTGTCATATTCATTACCCACGTTTTAACCCAGCTGATCAAAACTGAAAGCAAACTACACTCAGAGTCTGTCTCGAGTAAATCAGATTAAGTATCCAAATTCAGCAAGCCAAGACACAGTAATAAGCTTATTCACCAATTTTAACACACCAGTTAAAGTCACACAGAAAGACAGATGATACAGCGAAGCAGAGCTTTACCTGTGCAAATAGTCAGGTGCTTGGTTCAGCAGAGTATAGTACTGCCTGCCACACCTGACAAACTCCCGCCCGACCAGCAGGGGACTTGGCTTCTCCATCACCATTTCTTTGGTCAACTGAAAACTAGGGAAAAATCAAAAGCTTCATAAAACAGGAGCATTTCACACTACTGTTCACATCCTGATAGCAAAAGCCACGGAACCTCAGTGGAAAGCAGGCACCAAACCCCATCAGCTGTTTTCCCACAGTGGACAGCTTAACCAACGTGTTTTCAGAGTCATCAGTCTTCAGTGCTGAGGAGACCACTGGGGACCCAACCAGCAGTGGGAGAGACTGCAAAGGCAAGGGAGACTACCCCATAATATACCAGCATTTAATCACCCTGCAGCAAAGAGCTGGTGGCAAGCAAGTGTGGTTCTTCAAGAGGATTTGCTAAGTGGCTCAGTCATTTACAGTCGATCCCAGTTCCACTTACCTCACTTGACTTCACAATCAGAATTAAAAGTCAGATGTTCTAAGGCAAAGCCTCTGCTGGTGTATTAGGGGCATTTTTAAAAGGTCAGGACAAGTCCAATCTATTTTTATCTAGCAGCACAGCAGTCCTTGCTTGTGATTGACAAGCACTCTAGAGGAATATCGGATTATATTAAAATTATTATGCTACTAACAAATGCATGCTGCTCTTCCTTTGCTTCCAAACTCAGCAAGTCACCTCTCACTTAAATCCTGAAGGCCAGTCAAATGCAAAGCACCACCCAGACCCAGGGAGAAATCCATCAAGGTACCTTCTACCAGTTTCCCCTCCACAACACTCTCCCAAACACATGGCATGCAAATTCAGTATGCACATGCTTCAGGTATCAAGCAAATCAAAACCCATTCACTTCTAACTGGAGCCATCTAAAAAGCAATTCCAGAGTCATTTACTAAATTGCTTTTATTTAAGACTGCACAACTAAGTAGCACCAAGAAGTGGCAGCATCAACTGAACAATGGAAGTCAGACTAAGCAGTTCTCTAGCACAGACTAATCCAGGTGGAGTCAGCACAGTCCATGCCCACCTGGGCAGTTATGGCAGGACATGTTCTCATGTCACTACACAGCATCATCCTGTAACCTGGCTGAAGTTTGCCCACAGCTATCACCTGAACAAAGCAAAGGAGGAGAAAAGCACATTGTCTGTCCCATAGCCTTGTACTAAAGCCTTGCTCCAGGTCACCCAAGGATCTGGTTCGAATCTTATGGCATTTGCTGAATTTCAGAATAGTCCTTTAAATGCTAAGTACTGACAACACACTACAGCTGCAAAAAAGACAGGTGACCTACCAGGTTAGTGTTATTACAGTGGTAGTTTCAAACACACTCCATAGACAGGCCTGCAGAGGAAGTTACAACCACACTATACTGTTGGATGTACCAGGAATGCAAAACAAACTCCAAACCCCAAAGAGAAGAACATATGAAAAGAGATGACATGGAAGCTGGTACTTTGGATAACACTAAGTCCAAATCAGCCTGGCAAATTGTTTATATATCAAACAGTGGTCTAACACCCAACATACTGTAATTGAAAGACAAGGAAATGTGTCATCATCCTGGTAGAACATAATAATTATTAATATATTTGATAACATATTTGAGGATATGGCAACATCCAAACTCCCAGCAATGGTCAGCATGCACTGCACTCAGCTCAGCTGAAGAGATACAGCACACCAATTCCCACCCTGGCAGGTATGCAGTTTAAGGTTCAAAACAGAAGATTATTAAACAGAACACTATTAATAATAAGAAAATTGCTGTGGTTTTGCACACATGGATGTGTTTTGCTCTGCTTTTAACACAACCCCACACTTTTTTCACTTTGTAAGTACAAAACAAATATGAAGTATAGCCATTCTATTTTTTAAACACACTTTTTATAAGTTTAAACACCAGGGAGAAAGATCTGACATACTCCAGATGATGCGTACACATGAGTATCTGCTCTTTCAGAAGAAACTTGTATCACCACCACACAAAGAAACATTACTAACATGGTAACATGCAGAAAGGATAAGACCAAACACGACCTAGAACTGAAGAAGCCTTTTCAGTACATTCAGAAGCTTTCACTTGTTTTGAGGATACTTTCAAAAGCTAACTGTGCAGAAAAGTGATACTCCATGGTGAGGTCTGGCCTGCAGGACATGCTCAGATTCTGCAGCCCACTTTCATTTTAAGTTCCCAGTGTCTGTGGTTTTGAAGGAGCCTTCAAAGTGCAAATGTAACATTACAGATACAGATGCCTAAGACTGAGCACGGTACAAAGGCACAAACCCCCAAAGATAAGAACTTGTTTCCCTTGTAGTGCATGCCTAATCTACAAAGCATCAGCCAACAACCACCACAGGTTAGCAAGGCTAAGTTGTGGGTACCACTGCTGAGTTCCTCACTTAGCATCGCTTCCTGTCAAGCACTTGTGAAGCTTTATCATTGCAAGGGGCAGGACAAAACCAAAGCAGGAGCAGAAACAGCAGAGATGAGTCCCCCACTTTTAGATCCAGTCAACTTAACTGACCATGAAAGATCTGATTGCTCCACAAAAGTTAAAAACTTGCCTCTGTGAGTTCACAGTTAAAGTCAGTCCTACCATACCCCCAGGATCACTGTTTGACAAGAGCTCTATATAAAAGACCATAAACATGTGGCTTGTTCACTCTGTGGTTGATTTTTTTTTTTCAGGGGTGGAGGGGGAGGCAGAATGTGTTTAATTTCTTTGTAAAAAGTAGTTCTCCTGGAATTCAAACTTATTCCTATAGATGTCAACAGGCAAGTTTGTTACTTAATAGCCTGATTCAGCACCTTAGTGGAATCAAGTATTTTCACTTGCTTCTATAACATGAGTGCACAAGGCCTGACATTCTCACGTGATGGTAAACTTATCTGTAGCACTCCAAGCACAACAGCTCGTTTACTAAAAGCTCTTCCCAATTTCTCCTTTTCAGTGAGAGTCCTCACCTGTATTAACCCACCAGCAGGTCATCTTCAATGCTGTTCTGAGCTGTCTCAATGCTCTTCTGAAGAGACACTGAAAGCAGCTTGTGCTGATCAAGTCTGTCATTTACATGCTAAAAAATAAAAATCCAAGGACTTTCCTACTGCCAAGGGTGAAAATTCTACCAGGACTCACTCAACATGGAAAGAAGAACAGCAGAGTGCCCAGTTTTCATTATGCAGTTCTGAAAAGCAATGGGAAGAACCTTTACGTGACCTAATCAGAGGACAACAATCTGTTTTCACTCCTGCTGCACCTGCTGCTACACTGCCAGTTGCCATCTGCTCTTGCTCTCCAGCCAGCACAACCTGAGCAATAGAAGCCAACCATCTCCAGAGAAAATATTTGCTCCTTCCCACTCATTAGCAATTTATTATTAGGGGAAGGAATAGTGGAGTAATAACTGCAAATATTTTACACTGCATTTGTCATGCACAGAACACAATAGTGCCAAATGCTTCAACTGTCACTACATTACCCCTGATAGAAGCTTATCCACACATTTTCATGTCAATTGAGATAATGATGAAAGGGTGAAAACTGACAGGAAAAGCTGAAAATCAGCTAATTTAAGTTCAATTCATAAACATGCATTCGTACAACTCCACGCATGTAAAACAAAGGGGGTAATTCAAATTGTAACAAATACACTAGAACAGTTCTGTAACACAACTGAGCCCTTTCCTTAAGCCAAGAGACTTAGGGGAGGACAAATACCTCCTTTACAGTGGTTATCACCTGGCTGGTGGAAAATTCCACCATCTGTTACAATGCTCCTACTTGGCAGTAAATCAACACTAGGCACTGAATTTCCAAAGTACAGTTATGTAAATGAGAGCCATTTATGTAAATTATGTATTAGCAAATTCAGACTTAGGTCCACAAAACCTATTAGCATGCAGAAAATAGACTCAAAGAACACCTAGCAGCCAGCATTGATTAGCGTAGTGTTTTCTCAAACTGTTACACAGTAGTGAAAGTAAACTAACCATTGCTATCTCAACCCAAATTTTTAAAATTAATGTTTTTTTTTTTTTTTAAATCAGACTTCTACTAGACTTCCTACGTAACAAAAAATCTCTAATGTACATCACACAACATTCAAGCTCTCAGGACAACCAGTAACTGGAGAACCCACTTAGCCTGATGTGACAAGCCAGAAGACCAGACTCCACTGAAATAAACCATGGAAGTCAGAAAATCCCAAACTTTACTTCCTGGAGTGTGCAGCAATTTTAAACCTCTTCTGTCTAGAAAAGTGTCAGTAGTGACAGAAGACAAGTTAAAATTTACACTTAAGCATATTCTAAACAGGACAGATTGTTTTTACCATTATCCTCATGCCTTTGTTCTCTGCTATCTTAATTTCTGTACTTTTGACTCTTAATTCAAGACAAGAAATAGTCTCAAAAACTCCAAAGTTATTACAACGCGTTATGGTTGTGTTTGATTGGAATGTTACACAGCAGATGCAGCAGACAACCCTCCAGCAGTTCATACTTTCTCTTTGGGCTACTCAGGTGCCATAAGGCAGCTCATTTGATACATCCCTGTCCAGGTCTACAAACTGAAGTTTACAGGGTACCAGAACAGTTGTGTTGCTCTCCTACCTCACCTCCATCCCTTTTTATACCAGATTTAACTAATACATTCTCAGAGCTGTTACACTGTTTCCAATAACCTAATCAGCTTCTATGGAATATAATTCAGATCTTTCATCTCTCCAATTTTACTCCTAACTATACAAAAGCAACTCTGAGAGTACAACTGATGTGTTACCCAGACAAAGATATTTTTCTCCTCTAAACCAAAATGTCAAACTTTTCATGCAACTCTACTCCCTCATTTTGGTACTGATTAATTCCTTAACATAAAAAGGTATTTTGAAATCTTAAGAACTACCCAGAGAAGCTCACATGGGAAAGAGGTGTCTGCATCTAAGCACATCACACTACAAGCTGGCAAACAGTGATTTTGAAAGGTCTGGTCAATAGTTAATAGGATTGCGTAATTAAGTGTCATTTGGGATTTCTCCAAGTTGCTTAGCAACAGGTGAGCGTGTTCAAAGCCACAAACTATCTACATG